GCTAGCTCTACGATCGGCTCCGACCAATCACTGATACCTCTACGCCATTCTGGAGGAAGGATGCGAAACGTGTTTCTCGCCCATCTCGCTGGTGATGAACGACTCAACTCTCGTGCCAATCGCGTGAGACCAGACATCAACAATACCACGCCGATGGTACTCCAGAATGCTGGGCCTCGGAATGCACGAGTCCCCTCAGGCTGCCCACCAATGTATTCTGAAAGTATTGAGAATGCAATCGTGAGATATGCACAAAAATGTCTGTGAAACCGTTGTGACCACAACCAAGAACGGATTTCTGCGCCAACTTCACCCTGAGTTAAGCCTGAATTCTTGCGAAGAGCATGCATCAAAACTGTGCGACCAATCGTGGCCGCACGGGGTTGATCCAGAGGGACAGGGATCAAGAGCTTGCCGAGCTCCAGCTCCTGTGGCGGGGGCGCGTGAACCACGGAGTCCAGGTCCGAGACATGTCCACGCCCCACGCGTAGCTCTCGCTGCTGCTGCTCTCGCACTCGGGGCCGCCGTCTGGCTCTGTCGCTCTGCCTGATATCATACGAACCGTCGCCGCCGAGAGGTACCACTGCCACGTCTGCTGATCCCTCGCTGCCACTTCTGCCTGGTACTTCAGCCACTGCATCTCGAGGTCCCATAGCGCTGGCCCGTACAGCTGATAGCACAGGATGGATGTCTGCGTCAGGCCTCTTAGCCATTTCTCAGGGCGTCTGAGGTAGGATTTGATCAAGTAGAAAACGTCGGATTGGTCCAGGATATCCGTGATGGTCTGAGGCATTGCAACTCGTCTTGAACAGCCCAGTGCACGAGGAACAAGTCAATCGAGTAGAGTATGGGATATGGAATATGAACTCCCAGAAGACGCTATTTTTATATTGAGTTCGGAATTCTGGGACCGTGAACGCGATCCTGGACAGGTGCGTGAGCCTTGTACTCCCGTAGCTTAGATCTCCAAGCCGGCACAGCACAAGAGGTGAGAGAGTCCCGTTCTGCGAGCAATGTGAACCTTGATTTATCGCTGCGGCCACGAGTCCCGTCGATGACGGGAGGCACCGTGTCAGTGCGCGGTGAGCGTGCCTTGGGCGCCTGACACCCTCGTATGGCCTAAGCCGAAACGAGCGGAGGAACAGAACACTGGAAAAACACAACGTGGGGATGAGAGAGAAGGATGGGAAGTAGGATCACAAGGACTCTCGGGTGGGAGAGAGAGAGAGAGAGAGAGAGAGAGAGAGAGAGAGAGAGAGAGAGAGAGAGAGAGAGAGAGAGAGAGAGAGATCAAGAGAGCCAGAAGAGAGAGAGAGAGAGAAAAGGAAATAGGACGGAGGCATTGAAGGAGGGCGACGAGGACGGATGAGGTTTGAAGGATTGATGTCGTCGCACACTCTGGAGGCGAGGGGCGCATCCACGGCCCCCAGCTTAGAGTGCACCCACCTTCAATCGCTTGCAAACGTGCCTTGGCGTGGACGTCCTCCCGATCTCCCCGCCGCGCGGGTCGGCATGGAGGCGCATACTGGGAAGTCTAGGAGCTCGGGTGGGGGACGCGAGAGAGCTTCCTCGCTCCTTGCGAGAACAAGCGCACTGCAAACACATGTTTGGTCGGCGGGGCGAGAGTGAACCTCTTCCGCTAAAAACTAGGCGGGCTACGCGCAGCTTTAATTAGGGAGACAGGGCGCAGGAAGGCGGGGCCTCAGGCGGCCAGAGCAGGTGGAGCCCGGGGTGCAGGCGGTGCCGAAGAGCTTGCCCAAGAGAAGGACGAACTGCAAACACCTGAACTTTTCGACCAGGACTTCCGCACGGGTGTCTGAGGTCGGTTTAGCTACCCCCGCCCCGTGGCGCGCGAAGAGCGCCAGGCGGAGCTGGTCGGACCTTTGTTAATCAGTGTGAATGTCGTCTCTCTCTCTCTCTCTCTCTCTTTTACAAGCCCGGGAGAGGAGGCCGGAAACTCCCCCCCCTCGGCATGAAACGACAGGGGGGCCTCGGGGCCCACCCCCTGTCGTGACCAGCCTCTCGTTCTCAACCATGTCTGACGGGCCCCCCAGTCCACGCAGGGACTACACAGCCCTCCAGGGCTCCGTTCCCAGAACCCCGACGTGATGATGTTTTCACAACGTCGACACCCAGAGGTCTCGACGCATCCTCCGGGACCAACTTCTTAGCCTGAGTCGTCTTCTGACGGGCCGCGGCCCCAGCGAGGGCCCCTGGAGGCCGAGAACTGCCAGAGAACTCCCCTCGTGATTGTTGAAGGGGCCCTGGGACACGCGAGTAAAAAGACACAAAGAACTTCCCACGCGGTGCCCACCACCCCTGACACCGCCAGCCACCTGCAGCTTCCGGGCATCGGTTCTTAGGGCCCCTCCACCCTGCGAAATCCTTGCCGGGGACCCCCCAACAGGTGCCCACCACCCCTGACACCGCCAGCCACCTGCAGCCTCCGGGCATCGGTTGAAACCTCCTCATCATCTTCCTCCTGCTCTTCCTCCTCAGCGGCAGCGACGGCGGCTGCAGGCGGCGGCAGGCCAACTGCGGCCCTGGACCTCCGACGTCTTGAAAAATCAAGACGGTGGTTTCTCGCGGTTTTCGGGCACCAGGGGCCCTCAGCGAGCCCCGGGACCGCCAGAAGACGACTCAAGATGAAGAGCCGGCTCAGCAATAACGTGCCCGAGGAGTCCGCCGACTCCTTCTGGTGTCATCGGCGTGTTTGATCGGTGCTTCTCCCCCCACCACTCCGTCTGACCCGCATCCTGCCTGTAACGTCGAAGGCAATCCAGCCGTCGGCGGACGCCCGTGGACCGCTGGATGCACATGAAACGGCCTTCGAACTCCGAGCCGAGGTCGCGGCTTCAAAGCCACGGAGGGACGACACACCGACACGATGCAACAGGGCGCGTCGCATGTGACGGCTCATGCAAGCCTGGAAGAAGAGGGATGCCACAGATCTCGGCCTCCCGTGCATTCCACAAACACCCCTATGGGACCCCACAACCTTCTTTGGGGTCGGCGGCAGAGGCGGCAGCCTTAGGATAGATAGACACACGTAACAGGAGTCCCCATATGTTCCCACATGTTCTGGGTTCTCGTCTCCCCCCCCCACACTGCCCATATTTTCCCGTATTTCCCCAGGGGTCGACGAAGAACTGTGTCTGTGTGTTTTCTCCCCTCCTGATGCGCCGTTGACGGTAACACCACACCGCTCATCTGGATCTTCGCCTCCGGCTCCTGTCCAAGGTTTTCCTTTTCCTGTGCAAGCTCCTCGGCACCGCCTGCACCCCGGCCCGCCCTCCGGCGGCCGCCTGAGGCCCCGCCCGCCTGTGCCCTGTCTCTCCAATTATAGAGCTTTGCGTAGCCCGCCTAGCTTTTAACCGCAAGAGGTTCGCTCTCGACCCGCAGACCAAAAAGGGTTTTCTCCCCACCTTCCCAATATTTCCCCACATTTCCCATATGTCCCCGGGTTTTGCCCATACTTTCCCATAATTTCCCAGGGGTCGACGAAGAATCGTGTCTATGTGTTCCCTCCCCTCCTGAACTCCGTCGCGACGACAGCACGCCTGGCGCCCGGGCCGCAGCTCGGCTCAGCCGCCCCGGGCGCTGCGGGCCCCCCCCCCCCGGAAGACGCATCCTGGCGAGAGATTGCAGCCACGGGGGCGCCCACACACCAGCACAGGGGGCTGCCTCCACATGGGGAAGATTATCGTCCTCGTCCTCCTCCTCCTCCTCCTCGTCCTCCTCGTTCTCCTCCTCCGCCTCCTCCTCCTCCTCCTCCTCCTCCGCCTCCTCCCCCTTCTCCTTCCTGGTAGCCGTCAGAGGCACCGGCCGCCCGAGACGTCCTCGGAGCACGACCCAAACAAATGTTCCCACGGTGTTGGTGTCAATATTTCGGTCACCTTGGAAGCCAGAATATTACCACCATCACCGAGGTCGGGATCGTCTTCCCTCGTTGGAGGAACCCCGCCGATCTTGGTGTTGGTGTCAACCTCTAGGCCTGCGAACGCACCCCGGTGCTGGCAGACCGCCCACCAAACGGCCCAAAAGCCTGCAGTCGGGGCGCGGACCTCAGGAGCCCGAAAGAAGGAGCGAGGCCCCTGTCGCTCCATAACTTAAGCTTCGATCTCCCATGGGAAACCGCCGGAAAACCTCAGGCAAGCTGTGAACCGATCAAGGAACACCGAGCCCCTCCCCAACGAAAAGGGTTCCTTCTTCAGCGCCCCGACTGTACGCTCGTGAAGGCGGTCCAGATGCGGTCCAGCTTGCAGGAACAACCGATTTCAACGACGCCGCCCGGGGCTCCCATGAACGGACACGACCGCTATCGCCAAGCACAAAAATAGAGGCCTCTCAGATGGTGTCAGAGCCGATGGGGTCAGCGGATCGCGCCACATCGCCGATAAATCGGCGATGCATCGGCGATGCATCCGCGATGCGCCGGCGATGCATCGTCGATGTCGGCGATGCATCGGCGACGTCGACGTGAAGCACATCGGGCCCCACATCGAGCGACATCGCCGATGCATCGGCAATGCGGTGCGATCCTCCGACCCCATCGACTCGGCCCCCGTCTGGGAGGCCCCCCCCCCCCCAAAAAAAAAGAGAGGAGACCCCCACGCCCGTCGTCGCCAAAGGGGATGGCAAGAACTGCTCGTGGCGGCGTGCACAAGGGGGTGGGGGGAGGGGGGGGGGGCTTCTTAGAAGCAGGCTGCTTCTTGGAAGGCGCCGGCCTTACATCTATAGGTGAGGCCCGCGCCTTCGAAGAAGCAGGGGTGCTTCTAAGAAGCCCTCCTCCCTCCCCCCACCCCCCTCTGCGCCAGGGGATGGCAAGAACTGCTCCTCGCTCCTCCTGCCATCGCTCGGACGTCCACTTCCCGTGCATGTTCCTGTTTCGTGTGTGTTTTTCTTGCTCGATGGTCCAGGATGGTCCTCGATGATCCTCGCAGAGATAGAATGCGCACGTCCGAGCGATGCCAATCCTCAGGGCGGGCAGTGCGGGCGTCCGGCAGCGGCGCGGCGCCGCGGCGCTGGACCCACCTGCCGAGGCACTCCGCGTGCCTGGCGTTTCCCCGCCCGCGGGCGCCCGGGGGAGGGCCGCGCGAGGCAGGGAGGGGGGGGCCCTCCGAGCTTCCTGCTGAGCGTCGGCGGGGGCGTCACCCCCTCCTCGCCTCCTCCCCTCCTCCCCTCCTCCCCTCCCTCCCCTCCCCCCTCCCCCCTCCCCCCTCCCCCCTCTCCCCCTCCCCCTCACGACACGCGTCCGCGGATAGAGAAAATCAGCGCCATGGTAAGGGATGGGAGGGAGGGGTAGGACGTCAGATATGACGCGAGCGCACCTAGCTTGCCCCTCCCCCCTCCCCCCTCCCCCCTCTCCCCTCCCCCCCTCCCCTCCCCCCTCCTCCCTCCTCCTCCCTCCCTCCCTCCCTCCCGCCCTCCGCCGACAGCCCCACGTCGATCCCCGTCGCGGGCGGCCGCCGCGCGCCAAAGGCGCTGCGGCCCCCGTCGCGGCGCGACGACGAGGCGAGGTTGACTCCCGTCGGAGGGGTATCCCCCAGCGCGCACTGAGAAACCCAGAGTAGATGATGTTCAAAACGCTGGGGGCGTTTTTGTTTCTGGCATTCACTCCCCCACCTCCGATAGTGGACATGTTCCTAGGATTGTGGACATGTTCCTGGCCCCAGGTTCGTGGTCGCACTCTCGCAGCCACCTTGAACTGGCGACAGCTCCCGCCCCCAGCGCCCCAGCTACGGGGCCCAGTCCAGCAAACCCCGCCAGCAATGTCCCGTCCGAGGCTTGGGCGCTTGGTCCGTCCAGTGCTGACCACACAGTCCCGCCAATAGAGTCCCGACCTTCAGCGCCCTGCGTGTAGACCTGCCTAGAAGGTCCTGGCCTTAGCACCCATGTCAGCCATTCGGAATTGGTTGCGGTCTACTCGCTGGCATCACGCTCCATCAGTCCCCTCGCAGTGCTCAAGAATGCCTCTAGATGGCCTCAAATTGACTCTCGGGTTGCAGGGCACATCCCCCGAACGTTGCAGAAGGCCGCCTGGACGGCCGAAAATCCCCGATACCCGAAGAGCAACCCACAATTACTTCAATATGGCCCACGAGGCGGCCCACGACGGCTGCGATACCCCTCCAAGCACGGCCCCAAAACCACCCCAAGAAACCTCCCCAAACGCGCCCAAAGATCACTCCGCGGCAACAGTGGGGCTCCCCATCCGTGCCAGGCTACAGCGATGACGCGCCTCTGATCATGTACGCGAGGCAGCGCTACTCCATCCCACACCTGTCCTGTCTTCCCTGGAGACGTGTACCATACTTCGACCCAGTGGAACTCTGACATGCAAGCAAGATGCGATGTTGTTTTGACCACGTTCGAGGTTGGAAGCTTATTGCCTGCACTGTGACTTCCAAGGCGTCGCCAAATAGGTTAATGCTAATTGCCGAGCGTAGATCAAACGCATCGAAAGAACGGCAAGCGAACAACGACGCTGTCTTCGCAACATTCAGGCTTGCCAAATAGATCCACATAACACCAGGCCATAATATCGATCATCAATCATACCTAGCTTCTGCTGCACCCCCTTCCTGCTTGACGACCGGAGCGACTGCCTGTGATGGGACCAGCGCACTTTGCCTATCGGTGCCGCCATCTTGAAGAGAATTCGCCGGCCTAACGGGCCAGAGGCGTGCTAAGATCTCCGGTAACTGGTTCACAATTCTTCTAGTTCGGGCGCGCGGGGCGGCCCCTGGGGGTCCCCCGGCGAAAAGTACCCCGACCGCAGCCCGGGAAGGTCCCGGGAAGGTCTACTCAGAGATGGTTTTCCTCCTGGGCACGGCCTCTCAGGCCACCCAGAGCGCGCCAAGAGGGCCCCAAGAGGCCCCCAAGACTGCCCAAGAGGCCCCCGAGACGCCCAAAGGACGCTGCAAGACGCCGAAGATGATCCCAAGACGGCCCAAGATGCCGCCAAGACGCTCCAAGTGGCCTCCAAGAGGCCTCACAAGAACGCCCCGAGAGGCCAAAATCACAAATTTAACGATCGTTTTGGGAGGATTTTGGCCTTGTCGCATTTGCGGCTTTCCGATGCTCCAAGACGGCCCAAGAGGCCCCCAAGAGCGCACGAAGACGGCTCAAGAGGCCCCCAAGAAGGCCCCCAGAGAGCCCAAACGGGCCCCGAGACGGCCCAAGAGACGCCCAAGACGGCCCAAGAGAGCCCCAAGACGGCCCCAAGAGGGGCCCAAGATGGGGACCACGAACCGAAACCTCAAGCCTTCCGCCCCAAGAGGGCCCCAGGAGGCCCCGAGAGGCCCCCAAGATGGCCCAAGATGCCGCCAAGAAGCCCCCAAGAGACCCCAGGAGGCTCCAAGGAGGCTCAAAAGAGGCCCAAGGCTTCAAAAATGTCTCCCAGGCGCCCCCGAACGGCCTCTCAACAGACCCCAAGACCTCCCAAAGAAGCATCTGGACGACGGCCCTGTTTGGCCCCAAGAGCGCCGCAAGATGCCATCGAGAGGCTTCCTCCTCCGCCCTTTTCTCTTCCTCCTCCTCCTCCTCCTCCTCCTCCTCCTCCTCCTCCTCCTCCTCCTCCTCCTCATATTTATCTTCACCCTCCTCCGTTCCTTCTCATCCTCTTCTCCTCCTCCCCTCCCCCCCCCATCCTCATCTTCCTCCTTCCGGCGGCGCCGAAATGGCCCCGAACCCGCGCCGAAGCAGTAGCGATCATGCAATACGGGCCGGCGGAGTGAGCGAAGCGATTGAATAAGGCATAAGCTCTGGGCAATCGGCAAAGAAAGCCTCGTTCTCGATGACCTTTGCGTACTCAACGACCAACGCCTCAAGATCACTATCTCGCTTCTGGTCACCCTCTGGGTGCCTTCCATCGGGCATGACCTCGTCGCGAATACGCGCCATACATTTGCCATTCCACTCCGACCAGAAAGCGTTGCCATCCTCGTGAATGAGAACATGGCCCCCAGTCGAAATGAGCTCTTCTTTCAAATCTGGATGCTGCGCAATTTGAGCCCGCTTAGCCCGGTACATGACTTCAGCTTTAATCTGCTCCCAATTATTGCGGAACGACGGGTGGCGCTCCTGACCCATTCGGGCCATGAAGCAGCCGTATGCCCAAGAGCTTGTACCTTCTTCTGGGACGCTCTCCTGGAATTTCTGCACCATCTCCTGGTCTTGATACTTGAAAGCCTGGAAAAACTGTTCCGCGCTCTGCCACTGCGCACCGTTCAGCCTGTACGGCCGAACGAAGAAGTTGTCTGTGCACGCGGGTGCGTCTGAAATGCCACCGTCGTCTCCTAGAATCTTGCACGGCCCGCCCATGGCGAAAATGCAGAGAGCCCACGGGCTGCATATCCCTCTGTCTCACACAGGGAGCAGGTGCTTGGGCCAGTCCGTGTTCCGTGGAGGGTGCGGGCAGGAAGGGCAGGGAAGGAGCCCCTGGAGGAGGGAACGGAGAAGTAGAAGGACACGGGGCAACAGTATAACCGACGCCATAGCGTCATAGCTTCCCAGGTTCGGCATCGAGCGCACACGATTAAAGTTACATATATATATATATGCATATATATATATATGTGTATATATATGTATATATGTGTATATATATATAATAGATGTGTTCCTTCTCCCCCTCCGAACGATCGCCTCCCATTCATATGCAACGCCCGAATCCTCTCGGCCCTGAGCTCCGTTTTCAAACGTCTCGTCGGTTCTCGGCCGCTGCTCAGCCTCGGGGTGCGCCGCAGCAGCTGCGCCTCGCCGAGAGCCTTCGGGGGGGGGGGCCTGGACCGCCCCGCGCGGCCGCTCGCCGTAGCTAGGGGCATCCATGGCCCGAAGGCCTGCGGGGCGGTCCGAGCGGTGTGGTGACCTCAGGGAAACAAGAAGTGGCATAAACATAACAACTTCTCCTCCTCCTCCTCCTCCTCCTCCTCCTCCTCGAGAAACAAGAATAGGGAAACAACAAGTGACATAAACATAAAAACTCGGAGGTCCGCGCGGACTTCTTGGATCGGCGCCGGGACCCCCCGGCGGCGCCTCCGGCGCCGCCCCTGGCGCGCTCCGCGCGCCAGGGAAGGGGGTCCAACGCCGATCCGAGAAATCCGCGCGGACCTCCGAGTTTTTTTGTTTATGTCCCGTTTTGGTCCCCCAGGCCACACCGTGTGGTGAGTCATCGGGGGTTCGGGGTGGCCGCACGGTTTCGGGGCTCGGGGCGAACAGCTACCTCAACGGAAGCGACGAGGACCCCTGGGGCCACGGATGGAGCAACATCGAGTGAAGGCTTATGTTGTCCCCATCCTACTTAAGGGCCGCATCCCAGAAATATGTTCGAGCACCCGAACAAGATGTCAAAAGAGTGTCGAAGCAACTCTGTCGAAACAGTGTCGGGCGAGTGTCTCCCAGGGCCCGACACGTGGAAACCCTTGAGTTTCGGTACTTTCTTTCTGGTGACCAAGGCTAAAGTAGGTTGGAGCAACATAGTTGAAGGCGGACGTCAGGGTTGGCCCTTCAAGTAAGGAGCCGCAAACACGTACGCGCCAAGCCACTCCAAGTACGCACGTGCGCATATGTCGCCGCGCCGTTTGTTCTGAACGCGCCCAAGTTGACGACACCGGCACCACGGCAAACCCACAAAAAAGCCCTGCACCCCGCGCCCCACGCAGACGACGCCGCCACCGCGGCAAACCCACGGCAAACCCGCCGCGCCCGAGGCGGCGTCTGCCCTGGTGCCCGCGGCGCCCCTGCCAGGCAAGAGGCCCCTCGGCCAAAGAGGAAGGCTGCGGGGACTGGCCGCGAGGGGCTTCGGCAGTGCGCGTCGCTCGCTGCAGGTGTCGCTCCGCGCGCCGCTCGCAGAGGATGGCCACTCTTCTACGGCAGGCTCGTGCCGCGATGACGTCGGCGTTGACTCCTGACACAGCGTGGGTCGTCCACCCTTGAACAGTCGCGGCGTTCCCACTGTGCAGACCGCTCGATGCCCGCCGATTCCGTGCCTTTGGCGGCGTTCCAGCTTGAATGCCCGAGTTGGGGTCCCCGCCGCGTCCACGCGGCGACCCCCTACGGTCGGGAGCTTTTGATCAGCGTGTCGCGGCGGCGCCCCGGCGAGACGCTATCCCCTGCAAGCGGACAGCGCGTCGCTCCGCTCAGCGGGGAGGGAGGCTGGAAAGTCTCAGGACGTTGGCGCTCGGGGGCCACGACGTGGATAGCGCGTCGCGCCGAGGCTTGGTGGGCAAGAACCGGCGGCGCGACGCGCTCAGCCGCTAAGCCAAGGTTCTTCTCCCTACAGTCGGGGCGTTGACCTAAGGAACCCTAAATAAGGAACGAGGCCCCTTTTTTCCATAAGTTAAACTTTGATTTGCCATTAAAACCTAAGGAAAACCCAAGTCAAACTGTAAAACAATCAAGGAACACCGAGCCCCTCCCCAACGAACAGGGTTCCTTCTTCAGGGCCCAACAGCAGGAGTCAGGAGCAGGAGCAGGCGGAACAGAGGGAGGATGCGGAACTCGTCATATGTCCCCCCCCCCCAATGACGTATGGCGTCATGCTCGTGTCGTCCCCTCGTGTTGCGGGGTGGGCTTGGGCGACCGTCGCGGAGCGTGGCTCGAGAAAGTCACGGGCCACGACATGAGGAGACGAGGCGGGTGCCTGGCCTGGTGGCTGCGCCGCTGCGCCGCATTGCCATGCCGCAAGTTCAGCACAAGAAAAGCGGTGCCTTCATCAGTGCCGCAGTTCTGATGGGATGACCGTGCCCCCATCGGTGTCGAACATACGATACGAGGTGGACCCCTTCCCGAAGATCGGATCGGGAACTACTCGATCGAATGCGCAGAGCCTGGGAGTCTGCACTCGCACAGCGTGAGGCGTGAGGCGTGGGGCAAGCTGGCCGCCCCATTGCCAAGGCTCTTGCCGCGAAAGCCTCGAAAGACGAGTGCAAGGGGCGCGTCCATCCGTGATAGGGCTTGGCCTGGACTGATGAAAAGTATGTTGATGATGATGCTGGTAATGCTGATAGAGATGATGAATCGACGTCATCGTCATCGTCATCGTCATCGTCATCGACACCGGCATCGATGACCATCACCACCACCACCATCACCAGCAGCATCATCATCAGCATCAGCATCATCATAATCATAATCAGCATCATCAGCATCATTATCACCACCATCACCACTATCATACTCATAATACTGCTGCACCTCCTCCTCCCCCTGCATCTACTCATCCGAATCTCCCTCCTCCTCCTCCTCCTCCTCCTCCTCCTCCTCGTGATCATCATCATCGTCGTCATCAGCATCATCATCATCATCATCATCATCATCATCATCATCGTCATCGTCACCATCATCATCAGCAACAGCAGCATCAGCATCCTCCTCCTCATCCTCGTTATACTCATCCTAATCCTCTTCATCCTCCTCCTGATGATCATCGTCATCGTCGTCGTCGTCCTCATCATCGTCATCATCATCATCTTCATCATGATCATCATCAGCATCAGCATCGGCATCATCATCATCGTCATCTTCATTATCACCACCATTATCAGCATCATCATCCTCATCACCGCCACCATCGCCATCATCATCATCATCATCATCATCATCATCATCATCATCATCATCAGTATCTTCATTAGCACCACCAGCATCAGCATCATCATCCTCAACACCACCACTATCACCATCATCATCTTCAGCAGCATCATCAACACCATCCCCATCGTCAGGATCATCATCATCCTCATCACCGCCACCATCACCACCACCACCATCATCAGCATCATCATCATCACCACCAAAAGAGAGGGTGCGCTCGCACAACTGATGCGGGAGCGGGAGCGGGAGGGCTGGCGCAGCAGCCGGGCCGCCTGCGCCCGTCGACGTGGATCTGCCACTGCTGGTCGTCGTGGCACTCGACTGGCGAGCGGGGCGCACGGCCCACGGCAGGCGGGCGGCAGGTGCTCTCCCGATCCTCCCCCTCCGTCCTCCTCGATATCCTCCACCCACTCCTCCTCCCCCTCTTCTTCTTCCTCCTCCTCCTCCTCCTCCTCCTCCTCCTCCTCCTCCCTATCATCTTCTTCCTCCGACTCCCTTTCCTATGCAGACTTCCACTCTTCCTCCTCCTCGTCCTCCTCCTCCTCGTCATCATCATCATCATCATCATCATCATCATCATCATCATCATCATCATCATCATCATCATCATCATCATCATCATCATCATCATCAATCATCATCTCCTGGTTTCCCTTCGTCTTCCGCCTCGTTCTGTTGGTCCCCCTCAATCTCCCCAGCATCCCCTCTATCTCCCTCTCTCCTCTGTCGTCCGGATCGCCCCACGGAGGCCTGGGTCACACAAGGCAGCGACAGAAAGCGCACCCGACCGATGCAACACGCGGCCCCGACCAGATGCCAGCAGGGGGGGTGGGGGGTGCAGTGAGCTCCCCGGAGCCGGCGGCGCTAGGAGAGTGCCGACGACTCGATACCACGTGTCTTCGTACCCAGAGGGGGTGGGGGGCAGGGCCTCGTGCGGGCCCCCGAGCGTCATCAATCCACGGAGGCCCGCGGGAGCGCAGGAAAGTGGCGACGGCGCGACGCTTTGGCAGCGCGCGGAGAGGCGGGCCCCCCGCCCCATGGAGCTGCGTGCGGCAGCACCCTGTTGATCCCTGACCCCGCCTCCCACGGGCGCAAGAAGGAGGGGCGACAACCCTGCGCCTGGACGCGCCCACGGAGGAGATGCCCCGCTGGGCGTACGTCGGCACTCCGCTGGGCCGTCAAGGGGCGCGCGACAGTGGCGGTAGCCCCAGCCTTTGGCAGAACCCTCGTGGGATGAAGGCGACGTCACCCTGGGATCTGCCTGCCCCAGCACTTCGCTGGACCACCCCATGCGAGTTAGGACAGGAGGGAAGAGAGGGCACATATTGGAATTGGCCCTCCACGCGCAGGACGGGCTGGCCTGAACAAGCATATCAGATCGCGCCGGCTTGCGAGACTTCCCCTGGGCGGGTGCAGCAGACCGTGATTCGGGGGAGACCTCTCCCCGACCAGACTAGAAGTGACTCCATGCATGCCGACTCCCGCCGCCAATGCTGCAGCACCCCTCTCCCGGAGACCAGAGGTCGCTGCCACGGGGCGCAGAAAGTTCAGCATGGGCGCGCCGCTCTGGGATCTGACGCAGCCCGGCCACGTGGCCGCTCCAGCGAGGCGGCGCTTCCGGGCCGCTCAGCGCCTCAAGATGTCCTGCCGATGCGTTCCCGATCTTGTGTAGGTTTTGCTGGCGGCGGCCAGGATCAGGACATGATCGTCTAGGCCGGGTGGTACTC